TAGACATGTAGCATGAATTGGCAAATATGTTAGAATTTGATTGTTGTCATGCTTGGTTTATTGAAAAAGATGTGGGGCGTTTAAGTTGGATTTCATCTAATCAACTTTGGAATACAACTATTTTGGTTGCATTTACATTCTCCACAATAAAAATACTTGAATCTAAAAAAGTTTTGACACACTTGACTCTTTTTACTCTATTGGAAAAGAAGTTGGGTGTTCAGTTTAGAATCTTTGTATTAGACTAGGCTTATTTGTTCCCATGAAAACATTTTGTGAATACTCTTTCATTTATTTAATTTGCAAGAAGCTAAAGGTATGAAAAAAGTTGGAACTATTGTTTTTTTCCCTCTGCGCGGCCACATTTCAATTGCTCGCATAATTTGGCATTCAAACGGAATTGCCTAGACGTGTAATTTTTTGGAGACCCTTCCAACTTCACTACGGAGCTGAAATTAAAACAATTTTGAAAAATTTTTTGTTTAATCCCTCTGCTCGTCGCCCTAAATTCCGGTTACTGGTCGACTTCTACGTGTGGCTTAACCAAATTAAACATAATATTAAAACAGTTATGAGATAGCGCTTTTCTTAGCCATATTCTTTAATTCAACTTTTATGATCATTACTTAAGATGGAACAAATGTATAGATAACAAAGAAAAAAAGAACTATACTCACAAAGAGCATATGAACAAATGAGTACTAATATTACATTTACAAATCAAATCAATATATTATGCTAGCATATTGATTACACTTTAAACAAGGCTAAAATCACAAGTAATTTATTTAGGAAGACGAGCTTCCTTTTCTAATCCGGTCTTATTCATGTGTGGAATCTTATACTCATTGGAGAGGGCTACTGAAGGGAGCATAGGTCTAGAAAGTAAAAAAAAATATTGTCAAAGTATCATAATTGAACCTGAATCCCTTATTGATAATGTGTATATTTTTTCACTCATCTCATTTTTCACTTATAGTTCAAATCATCTCCTATTTTTGGGTAAGTTGTAACACCAAATGTTACATGAAAGTGGAATACGAAACTTCTATGTTCCATTTCGTTGGATGAATGACACGTGTACATGATGTTAGGTTTGTACACATGTCAATCATTTAATGGAATGAAATACGAAATGCAACATGAAAGTAAAACAAGAAATCTAATATCAATTTTTATTGAGGAATGAAATTTCTTATTTCACTTTGATGTTTCATTTCGTTGGATGAATGACACGTGTAGATTATGTTCTCTTTGTACACGTGCTAATCTACCTAATCAACCAATAGAATAAAACACAAAATGAAACATAAAATTAGAATATGAAATCTAATCCCTTTGGTTGATTTCCTTTAGCTCAGGTGATTTCCGTTTACTTTCTTTAGTTCTTTTTTGAAGAAATATTTGGTGGATGAGCTCAATATTTGGAGTGTTTCAGCTCAAAATAAGGGCGCAATAGAGGGATTTCCACACACAAACACTATCCAACAAAAATGATTAAAAAAAAGAAAAAGAAAAGAAAAATACACACACACACACCCTTTTGCAATATTATCTTTCACAACCCACTCAAAATTCAATTTCACTTTTTTTTTTAATACAAACTTTGAAATCCATTTTCTGTCTTGGATATTCTGAAGAAAGTGTTGCACATTTCTTTATATTATCCACTTATATCCAAATTAAAAAGCACAAAAAAATTTGAGATCCTTCACTGTATATCTGGTAAGTTGTAGGAAAAAAACAGATCAAGAAAAGCATCTAAAACAGAGAGGAAAATTTGTTTGAAGTTTTTGTCCATGCAGTGTTGAAGTGAGGTAAATAAAGAAAAAACACACACACACACAACATTTCATTGATTTTGGTTTATTGAACATGAAATCTTTCTAAATCTTCGGTCGAATCATTAATCTACGTGCAGTTTTCCGAGCCAAACAAGACGATGTTCGGTTTTAGCGTTAGGACATGGCAAAACGGATTCGGATCACCTAAATCCGTCGGGTCCCCAGTCTCGGTCAGCTCCCCTGCCCGACCCGTGTCGCCCGGCGACACGAACTCTCCAAAAGTCGATGTGGGAGAAATCGATACCCGAGCACCGTTCGAATCTGTGAAAGCGGCTGTAAGTTTATTCGGCGAGGTTGTTTCTCCTAGGGCAAGGCCGGTCACCAAAAAGACCAAAGCTGAAGAGGTAAAGAGATTTTACATTTTCAATTTTTCGTTTAGTTAACTAGTCCGGTCCGACTCAATAAGGCTAAAGTGATTTTTTTTTATAGGTAAAATTGTATTTTTAGTTTTGTTGGTTTGAACGCCAGAACAATTTTAGTGTTAAGGTGTCAACATTTGGTCTTTTTGCTCATGTGATTTAATATTTTTCGATTTACTGCAATTTTAGTCATTTTGAAAACTGAAATTGCAACAAATTTCTGAATTCCATTTCAGTAATAATTTAAGTCTAGTAATTTAAAATTTGTTGCAATTGCAGTCCTGTAATTTAAAGTTTTTATGCAATTCCAGTCCTCAAATAACTGAAACTGTAAAAAACTATTAAATTACATGACAAAAAAGCTTTAAGAGAGAATAGGGAGTAAGGTGAACCTTCGCTTCATTATAAAATTAACTCGGACCTTCTTTCTTCTCCTGCGGGGTCCTGCGAAAGTTGAAAACTATGAGACTAAAATTACTATGACGTTAAATCACCTTTTAAAAATTACAATTTCAGTTCTAAATTACAGCAAATTCCCAAATTCCAAGATTTTCCATTAGCACTTTAAAGTCTTGTAATTTGTAATTTTGTTGCAATTTCAATCTCGTAATTCAAAGTTTTTGATGCAGTTTCAGCCAATATTAAATTACATGACCAAAAAACGAAAAGTTGGAACCGAAACCTTGAGTCTAATATGCTATGACGTTACACCAACAAAAATAAAAATGCATTTTATATATAATTTTTTACCGTTCATTCGGGGTTGCAAAAGCTCAAACTCGATTCATTTATCAACCTCACCTGAGCTTACTAGCAAGTAGCAGCTCGTTTTTCTTTCGCTTCTGATCCGACATTTCCACCTAAAATCCTATTCTCCACAGCAAAGGCTACTCGAAAAGGAGACCCAACACCACATGATCCTTCGCGAGCTCGACTACTACAAGGAAAAACTTCGCCAAACCGAGTCTGCCCGGGCCCACGCTTCCCGAGACCTCCAGCAGGCCCACCGCACCGTCCACGAGCTCACCAACAAGCTCGACTCCCTCAGCGAATCCAAACAATCGGCCATTCGGGCCGCCGACGAGGCCCGTCTCTTAGCGGGATCCCTCGAGGCCCGCCGGGCCCACCTCGGCAGCGACGCGTGGAAGCTCGACGTGGACTCGGAACGCGAGTCCTACCGAGCCTCCGCGAGCCAGCTCATCGCCGCCAAGCAGGACCTCACGACCCTCCGCCAGGACGTCGACTCCGCCCTCGACGCCAAGCTGGCGGCCTTCCACGAGGCCGAGGAAGCCCGCCAGCTCACGAGGGCGAATTTGGAAAAGAAAAATCGGCTCTTGCTTGAGGTCTTCAACATTCGGGAGACCCTCGACCAAGTTCGGGCCGCGGCCCGACGGGCTGAGGAGGAGCACCTCAGGCTCGTGGCCGAGCGCGAGATCTACGTGCTCGTCCACAAGTCGGCTCGGGAGTTGGGCGAACGGGAGATTCAAAGGTTGATAGACGAGCGCGGGCCCACCGACGACGACGGGGAGAAAAGCTTCGAGGAGGTTAACGAGGCGGTTAATGTGTTGCGCGAGCAATTGGACGAGGTTCGAACGGGAGATTTGAGGTTGCTCCGCGACGCGGTCTCGAGGCTCGAGTTAGGTAAACGGGAGCTCGAGGAACTTTCGGAGGAGGAAAATTCGAGTCGGGCGAACGGGCGGGCGCTCGGTTATGAGGTGGAGTGCGTGAGGCGGAAAAAGTCGGAGTACGAGGAGAAGGCTCGGGAGGTTGAGTTGAGGCTCGAGGCGAGACGGGCGGAGCTCGAGAGGAAGAAGGACGAGCTTCGGGAGGCGAAGAAGTCGAGGGGCGTTTTGGAGGAGACGCGCGCGAAATTGGACGAAATTTTGCGCGGAACCGAGAAGTACCGACGGGAGGCGGAAGGGGTGAGGGAGGAAATCGAGCGGATGTGTCGGGAGGCTGACGAGGCGAATGACGTGGCGCGGGAGATGGGAGGGAGGGTCGAGGCGGCCATGGTGGAAGCGGAGGCC